CCGCGGAGCGGCGGGGCCCATGAGCCATGGCCGCTGAGCCTGCACGTCCGGAGCCTGTGCTCCGCAACGGGAGAGGCCACAACACTGAGAGGCCCACACACTGCAAAAAAAAAAAAAAAAAAGAAACCCCGACTCCAGGCCCAGCTCTTTCTTTACTTTCCTGCATCCCTTTCCTCCCTGGGCCTCAGTTTCTCCTCCACACAAGCAGGAGCTCGAGCGCCCTGACTCTGAAGTCCCTCCCAGTCCAGGCTGCCAGGACTCTGCTCCTTTCCTTCTGCTCTCCCTCCTGTTCCTGCTCCTCTCCGGGATGGGAGCGTGCACGCGTGCACGTGTACATGTGCATGTGTGTGTGAGTGTGCAACTGTGTGTGTAGTGGGGTCAGGGAAAGGGAGAGAGACCTGCAGAAGACAGAGCTGGCAGTAAGGGGAAAAGGCGGGCCAGCACTTTATGTGCCAATGGGGCTCAGAGCTTTCTCATTGGCCAGTGGCGCTTGGGGCTGCTTAATCATTAAAGGAAAGGAATGAAACCAGGAGCGCCTCAAAGTCCAGCCTGGTGGTGACTGACTAGTAGATGAGCGTGGAGCTGGCAGCAATGGGGCCTGGAGCTTCGGGAAATGGGGTCAGCACTGCGACAGTTCCACACTCAGCACCGGGTCCTGGAGGCAGCCTGCACGCCTACGACATCGCGGTCCTGGTCGTCTACTTTGTCTTCGTCATTGGCGTGGGGATCTGGGTGAGTAGCTCGGAGGTTGGGGGTGGGCAGGGGAGGCAAAGGCAGGCTCTCATCGATGGCTGGTCATGGAGCTGGGGGCAGGGGTGGGCAGAAGGAAGGGGTGTCCAGGAAGCACAGGGGCTGATGTGGAAAGACCTTAAGGGATCATCCTCTCCAACCCCTCCTTTTAGAGATGGGCAACTGAGGCCCAGAGAGGGGTGTGACCTGCCAGAGCTCATACAGCGAGCCCCCGTTTCCCGCCCGACTCCCTGTCCCTGTGCATCTGCTCCTTTGGCCCCACTGGCCTCCCCGCATCCCATTCCTGCCCTCTTCTACATGCCAGCATCCCCAGCTATGCGAATGCTTGACTCCTGGACCCACCACACCTTCCACCAGATGGTGCCTTGGCAAGGAGCTGTGCTTTCTAAAGGAGCTGGGGTGCGTTGTCTCACAGGAAGGGAGCTAGGAGGATGCCAACATGCTTCTGTTCTCCACTGCTCACCAGAGCCTCAATGCCCTGGATGCGTGCCAGGTTTGGAGGTCGGGGAGCTCTGAGTTCAGATGTCAACTCCAACAGGTAGGGCCGCATGGCCCTGGGAACATACGGAGCCTTAGTTTTCTTATCTGGACAATGAGAGTATAAAGGTCTATGAGGTAAAGTGGCCCTGACCATTTAGGAGCGTGACACATTTAAGGATCTGGCACAGCGCCCAGCACACAGCCTGCAGCAATAAATGACCGCTGTTATCTCTGCAGCATTCGAGGGAAATGCCAGCACCTTTAGACTCCACTGTGCTGCAGAGAGTGATTTGAGCCCCAGGTGGTCACTTATGAGGCTGTGGCAAGGTCAAAAACCATCTCTGGGCCTCAGTCTCCTCATCTGTAAAGTGGGATGAACTGTCCCTGCTTCCCAGGGTGTGTGAGGAAGAGATGGGCAAACAGGCTCGCTGGCTCCAGGGAGGTGGACAGCCGTGAAAAGCAGAAACTTCCCTGTGACTTTGGACAAGTTGCTTCCCATTAGGGGACCTCCATTTCCTCACCTGTAACGTAAACTATTTCTGTTCATCTGTCCTCCCCAAGGACCAGAGGTGGCACAGGAAAGTCCAAGCAAAGGCTTGACAAGCAGCAAGCCCTGCACACCAGTCATGCCCTAGTGACTAATCTGTCACTTTCTCTTGGAGAAAGAGAAGCTTCTTTCAACTTCCCTCTCTCTTCCCCTCCTTCAGGTATTTCTCTTGTCTGCAGACCCAATCAGATGCCTGGCTTCAGCATCCAATAAGGGCTTTAACCCGCTGCCCTGTACTCACCCCCTGCATCTGAGAGAAAGTTCTTTCATTCCCCACCCCCTTTCAGTCTTCATCCTCAAATAGGCCACTACTGACCACCTCCCAGTGCAGGAGAGGGTTTGCTCCAGGGTCATGGGTGGACCTCAGTGGTGTGGTCTGACATCAGGCCGGAGCAGGAGACGCCCCCCAGAAGAGTCCTGCCTCTGTCTGGGGCCCAAATGCTTTGCAAACTCCCAGTCCCCCGAGTGGGAGTCTGGCTGGGCGGAGGGGACAAGGCAGTCTCCCTGCCACGGTAGCCTGAGGATGAGACCCCAACTCATTTCCTGAAGCAACGTTTGGACAGGGACAGGGGAGCAGGATAGGACACAAGAGTGCACAATGGCAATAATCTGTGCACATGAACAGCACCGTACATTCATGAGGGCGTTTCACTCACACACACACACACACACACACACACACACACCATTAGCTCCTTTGTTCTTCACACCTGCCCTGGGTGATGAGCAGGGAGTCCCAGAGAGGGGAGCTGACGCCCCCAAAGCCATGTAGTTTAAAGATGGCAAACGCTTCAGCCTCAGTTCCCACCCCCTGTGTCCCCACAGTGCCTACCTCGAGGGGCAGGGAATCTGGGGCAGAGAGCAGAGCCTGGGGGAGGCTCGGGAAATCCTCACTCTTGCCATTTCCTTTCCAGTCGTCCATCCGTGCCAGCCGAGGGACCATTGGCGGCTACTTCCTGGCGGGAAGGTCCATAAGCTGGTGGCCAGTGAGTCGACCCTCCTCCCGCCCCTCCCCACATCTCCCAGCTCCCACCTCACCTACTCCTACCTGGACCAAGGCTACAGTCCCCGAGGGGGTTCCTGGCTCTGGGCTCCTTCTCTCTGGTCCAGAGGCACCAGGCAACCTGAGAGATCTTGCAAACCCACAGCTGGGACCTGCGTGCCCTGGGCGCCTCCTAAGTGTGGGTCCCACGCCGGACACTGGACCTACAGAGCCCACGCAGAGTGTTCCCGCCCCAGAGGAGCTCAAGGCTGAGCGGGGCAGACAGACCCATAAACAACCTGATGGCTGCCGAGCTGGAGGGCAGCATGGGTCCTGTGAATGTCTGGGGGAGGCCTCTAACCTCCAGATAGTGGAAGTGGTATTAGGAAAGATTTTCTTGGGAAAGTGACACGTAAATACTGAAGAGCAGTTAAATGAGGGAAATCCTAGAGGTAAAATCCCACCCCCCACAGGAACTGATCTTTTGAACCCCAGTCCCTCCCATCAGGCCTCCCCACTTGTTCCTTTTGGTCCTCAAAGCTAACTTCCTCTTCCTGAAATAGGACGGAGGGAGGTGAGGCCTGCTTCCAAACTAACAGCGGAGTCCTCAGCCCCAGGGACCACTGAAGCTGGGCACAAGCCCAGGCGCGCACACCTCACACTTGGCGTGTGAGTGCACACACACACACGCACCCACACACCACCGGCCCTCTGCACATCCCTGTCTTTGTTCTCGCCACCCTCGCTGCCCACCGCTGGTGACAGACTCACCAAAGAGCAGAGGACCCCAGGAAGCCTGCAGGGTTCTCTGGGTTCTCTGCAGGGTTCAGGTGTCCGGGACAGGGAGAGGTGAGGACAAAAGGAGCATGACAGGTGGCACAGTGGTTGGGAGTTCGCCTGCCGACGCAGGGGACGGGGGTTCAAGCCCCAGTCCGGGAGGATCCCATGTGCCTCGGAGCGGCTGGGCCTGTGAGCCATGGCCGCTGAGCCTGTGCGTCCGGAGCCTGTGCTCCGCAAGCGGAGAGGCCACAACAGTGAGAGGTCGCGTACTGCAAAAAAAAAAAAAAAAAAAAAAGAGCATGACGGAATCCCCAGGGATGCGGGGGGCTGTGGGCCTGGCAGCTCACAGGGATGGGGACAGGGTCGCTGGTGCCATCAGACACCCCTCATCAGAAGAATGAAAACCCCTCGGAGGCCTTTCTGATCATCTGGTCCCCTCACCCCACCCCAAAATCACAGCCCTGGAAACGAGTCGTTAGGAGGCACAGAATTGGAACAGGTCAGGTCTCCTCTGGTCCATCCAGGAGAACCAGTAGGGCGCCAGTCTGGACGGTCAGTCCTGCAGAGAGCAGACCTCTGGGGTGTGAGGAAACCCGAGGCCTCCGAGCAGGAGGGGGTGCCCCAGAGATGGTGACGGAGCGGGATGTGGGCCTGTGCACGTGGGAAAGAGGATGTGGTGGCGCCCTCATCAGGGCGACGGCGCTGTGAGCTGAGCAGCCTACACTGAGAGCAGCTTCAGCCCAAGGCCGGGGCAGAACCAGCCGCCGGTGAGGGACTCTCAGTCCCGCTGCCCCGCTGGGACGTGTGCGTCTGGTGTCTGTGATGATCGTCCAATAGCTTTGCGTGCTGAGCCAGTCCTGAGAGGTGCCTCATTCTCTTCCCTGTGGCCCAAGGGGAGTGTGGTTGGGGGCTGACAGCAGAAGGTGCAGCAGCATCCCCATCTCAGAGGGGCCCGTGGGGTCCCCTGCCGACGTTGTTGATGGCTCCTTGAGTGATGCGCTGGGAGCCCTGGGCAGGGTCCTCGAGAGCAGTCTGGGGAGCCTCTTCCACAGTAGGAGGCCCAGTGCTCTCTGCTGTGACTGAGCGATCCAGCCCAGCCTGCAGCATCCCCAGGACCACCTAAGAGAGGGAGGGAGTGTGTGTGTGTACGTGTTGTGTGCACGCGGGGGCAGAGGGGTGGCTGAAAGTGGCTGGGCCCGTGAGCCATGGCCACTGAGCCTGCGCGTCCGGAGCCTGTGCTCCGCAAATGGGAGAGGCCACAACAGTGAGAGGCCCGCAAAAAGCAAGGAAAAAAAAAAAAAAAAAAAAAAAGAGCATGACGGAATCCCCAGGGATGCGGGGGGCTGTGGGCCTGGCAGCTCACAGGGATGGGGACAGGGTCGCTGGTGCCATCAGACACCCCTCATCAGAAGAATGAAAACCCCTCGGAGGCCTTTCTGATCATCTGGTCCCCTCACCCCACCCCAAAATCACAGCCCTGGAAACGAGTCGTTAGGAGGCACAGAATTGGAACAGGTCAGGTCTCCTCTGGTCCATCCAGGAGAACCAGTAGGGCGCCAGTCTGGACGGTCAGTCCTGCAGAGAGCAGACCTCTGGGGTGTGAGGAAACCCGAGGCCTCCGAGCAGGAGGGGGTGCCCCAGAGATGGTGACGGAGCGGGATGTGGGCCTGTGCACGTGGGAAAGAGGATGTGGTGGCGCCCTCATCAGGGCGACGGCGCTGTGAGCTGAGCAGCCTACACTGAGAGCAGCTTCAGCCCAAGGCCGGGGCAGAACCAGCCGCCGGTGAGGGACTCTCAGTCCCGCTGCCCCGCTGGGACGTGTGCGTCTGGTGTCTGTGATGATCGTCCAATAGCTTTGCGTGCTGAGCCAGTCCTGAGAGGTGCCTCATTCTCTTCCCTGTGGCCCAAGGGGAGTGTGGTTGGGGGCTGACAGCAGAAGGTGCAGCAGCATCCCCATCTCAGAGGGGCCCGTGGGGTCCCCTGCCGACGTTGTTGATGGCTCCTTGAGTGATGCGCTGGGAGCCCTGGGCAGGGTCCTCGAGAGCAGTCTGGGGAGCCTCTTCCACAGTAGGAGGCCCAGTGCTCTCTGCTGTGACTGAGCGATCCAGCCCAGCCTGCAGCATCCCCAGGACCACCTAAGAGAGGGAGGGAGTGTGTGTGTGTACGTGTTGTGTGCACGCGGGGGCAGAGGGGTGGCTGAAAGTCCGCAGCAACATCAGGCCGATTGTTATCTCTGTGCCTTTGCACTGTGCTGCCTCTTCTCTGAATGTCCCGGTGCTTTCCCTTCTTCTCACTTTCTACTGCCCAGCCCCACAATTTTATTAAGGTGACACAGGGTACAAGACTGGCTCTTCCCCTCCAGCTCCCATCTGACAGTAACAGATAACACTAATGAATGCTCGCTAAGGCCTAGTACCCAGCAAGCAGTGATTACAGGAGGCAGATGGCCAGAGTCGAAATCCTCATTTCGACTGTCACTTATCAGTTCTGGAACTTGAGCGAGTTATTTGCTTGTGCCTCAGTTTCCCCGAGTAGAATGGGGATAATGGCAGATCTTTCCTCATGGGGTTGTCGTGAGGAGTTGGTGAGTTAATATATTTAGAACAGAAGCAGGCACTTGGCCATGCCGTTCAAGTACTGACGGCTATGACTGTGGACACCATCTGTCTAACTGGCATTGCCTCCTATTGCCTCAGAGTAGTTGGCTGCCTCCTGGAGAAAAATTAACTGGGGGGTGGGGGTGGCCTGGGCTGTGCTCAACCCCGTGGCTCCTCCCACTGCCTGGCCCTGCCCTGGGACCTGCCGGAACCGGGTGGCAGAGGGCCTCCCCCATCCCTCTCGTGGGGGACTCCCCTTCTCCCTTCAGCTTCCTTCTCTCTGGAGGCCCTTAGATCCATGGCCCCAGAGCAGACCTTTATCCTCCCTACATGGACCCTGCTTCCCATGGCTTCTCTTCTTTCCCACTTTGCCTCTCCCTCACTGGGTTGCCTGGAGCCGGTGACTTCATTTCTCCTAACATTAACTCCTTCCTTCGTAAAGTGGAAAGATTGATACCCATCCTTCCAAATATCTGTGAAGATTAAGTGTATTAGTGCCTATAAAATACCTAGCACATTGCCTGGCATACAGTAAGTGCCTAATAAATAGCAGTTCCATTCCTCTTCTCATTGCTCCCCCACTGCACCTCCTCCCTCTGATCTCATGTTTCCTGAGTTCAGGTTCTGCTCTCTCTCTGCCTCTTTCCCAGATCCTGAAGCGCAGAGTCCTGACTACAGATCGATTCAAATGAAAACTGACCTCTGACCCTTGGCCCCACTTGTGCCTTGCAGATCGGAGCATCTCTGATGTCCAGCAATGTGGGCAGCGGTTTGTTCATCGGCCTGGCTGGGACAGGGGCCGCTGGAGGCCTTGCTGTGGGTGGCTTTGAGTGGAATGTAAGGAAGTTGGCCTGGAGGATTCTCATGGATAAAGGGGGTCTTAACCCACCCCATCCCACCCCATCCCCGGCCTTAGTGCTAAGAGGAACCTCAGAGGTGCTTGGGGAAGATGCATGGTGAATCGAGAACCCATTTTACAGATGAGGAAACCAAAGCCTGGAGGACCTCATCAGAGGACCTCATCACACAGGACTGAGATCAGGCCTCCGGTCCCTTACCTCCCTGCCCAGGGCTCTCCTCTGCACAGACCACCCCTCCATCTGCATCTAGAACATGGATCCCTTTTTCTCCCCACCCTCCCAGGCAACCTGGCTGCTTCTGGCCCTCGGCTGGATCTTCGTCCCCGTGTACATCGCGGCCGGTGTGGTCACAATGCCGCAGTACCTGAAGAAGCGATTCGGGGGCCAGAGGATCCAGGTGTACGTGTCTGTCCTTTCTCTCATGCTCTACATCTTCACCAAGATTTCAGTGAGTACCTGCTCCCATGTGGCCATCATGTCTCTCTGAAAATGCTTAGGAGAGGGCACAGCTTGTTGCTGGATGGATGGATGGACGGATAGATGAATGCATGGATGGTTAGAAGAGGAAGGATAACAGAAAGGGAGGATAAATCCACACCCCTGGGCTTCCCTGGTGGCGCAGTGGTTGAGAGTCCGCCTGCCGATGCAGGGGACACGGGTTCGTGCCCCGGTCCGGGAATATCCCACATGCCGCGGAGCGGCTGGGCCCGTGAGCCATGGCCGCTGAGCCTGCGCGTCCGGAGCCTGTGCTCCGCAACGGGAGAGGCCACAACA